AAAAAAAGACAAAAAAGATATTTTAGTAATATATTAAGAAAAAAAAAGAAAAAAAAGAAAAAATATATATATAACAAAATTAAATGGGATCGCTTTGTAATATTTGATTTCTTGACTACATTAGTTAACAAGTAAGACATAAAAATATATAAATCTAAAGGAATTACTCATCTTAATTCTAGCTTTTACTTTTACTAATATATTTGTTTATACTGACTTTTATTATTCATCTGTTCATCCTTGTAAAGTCATTAAACCTGACAAGCTAATCATGAATGCATTGCTTTATTTAGTTGCACAAAGTTAAAATAAACATACTTGTAAAGAAAAAAAGTTTTAAAGTTTGTGACTTCACTAATAAATAAATTAAATCAAAACGTGTATTTCTTTACATTCATCATGTTATATAAAATAACATGAACTAATGAATGTCTTTGTTAATGAATTAACTAACACTAACAAATGTTACGTTTTTTGTCTAACGGATGTTAATATCTTAAGACTCAATATAGAAGTGACTGTTCAATATCAAACATTAGAAAAGGTAGATTACATAACACAGTAGTTCCCGGTTCCTTGAAAAAAGCTTGAATGTCATAACTAAGAAATTATTTTGAAATTTTGCCCGCATGACAATGCATGCTTTCCATCTGACCTATCCACATTTTTCTACAGCTAAGCATAATCATTGCTCAGCTTACATTGTTTTTTTTTTTCTGGTTTCATTGTTAAATAATTTGTCATAAGAATGAAGGAAGTAGACTGCAGGAAGAAATCCTAAAATAAAACAGAATTATCTTTGTGCACTTAATGCAAATGTATGTCATGTCAGGGTTAATGGGGTGAAAAAATAACCAATAATTAAACATTTAACAAAATAAAAATGAATCATTTATCACTAGCTTCAGTGCTGATAGAAGTTATTAAAACAAGTTAAATTGAAACAAGAAAGGGTCTGATGTTGGCGCCTCCAGCCTAGTGGTTTAGTGTGCTTCTTCTAAGGTGACATATCGTCACTTTAGAATTATAAGGTTCTATCTGGCATTTTTGTCAAAATTTAATTACTAACATATACTTTTTAAATAACAACTTATTTACATTATGGGAGTTTTTTTAATAAGTTGTTAACATTTTAAGACTTTTTATTTTATTTTTTAAATGTTACACTCATACTGTTTGCTATGGAATGCAAAAAAGTTTGAAGCTCAACATCTTGAAATCATTCAGAACGCAGATACAACCTTATAATTCCCAGGTAAAGATATAGCATCAAGGTGCTCACAGTGACCCAAATTCCTAACTCAAGGTCCTTTGCCGATCCTTCCTCTCTTCTCATGATTTCCTCTCAATTCACTGTTCTATCCATTAAAGGTTAAAAAACCCTAGGAAAATCAAAAGAAAGGTGATGATGCTTATAATATTTATTTAAATTAAAAATTCTCATTTCTCCCTGCCTTTGCGTGGGTTTCCTCCGGTGGCTCCGGTTTCCCCCACAGTCCAAAGACATGCGGTACAGGTGAATTGGGTAGGCTAAATTGTTCGTAGTGTATGAGTGAGTGTGTGAATGTGTGTGTGGATGTTTCCCAGAGATGGGTTGCGACTGGATGGGTATCCGCTGCGTAAAAAATAGCTGGATAAGTTGGGGGTTCATTCCGCTGTGGCGACCTCGGATTAATAAAGGGACTAAGCTGAAAATAAAATGAATGAATGAAAAATTCTCATACATTGTTGGCAGAATCAAAGCCAGTAAAAAAGATACATAATTGGTACATATAAAAGTGACTGTTATCAGGCAGTGTTTTAAATTGATGTCAGGAACAAATTTTTAAGTTATTTTCAAAAAATCCAAAATTAATTTTTTTATATTATTATTTTTTATATTTTTTCCAGAAAATACAGTAACTATTCCAAACATATGCTGGAATAATAATTGGTGGTTCATTCCACTGTAGTGAACCCTGATTTTTTTATTATATATATATTTGAAATTGTGATTTTTTTTTCATCAGATTAAAAGCATAAAACATATACTCTTAATACTTCATATAAAGATTCAATTAATAAAAATAAGTTATAGATAATGTACTAACATGAACAAACTGTTAAAATACATTAATTACAGTATTTTTTTCCATCTTTGTTAATGTTAGTTATTGAAAACACAGTTGTTCGTTGCACATTACACTGTCAAGCACATTGTTAGCCAGCACTCACTTTTGGAGATTTACACCTACCTAACTATAAATAGTAACAGTTCTTGATCCCAGTGAGCTACAAACACAAATTATGTATCATTAGAAAGAAGACTTATTGGACTTTACTGTAGTAAAAGGGGACGTTTCATGCTTAAAAATGTAAAAAGATCTACATTGCGAAGTCATGAGAAAAAAATTGTATTGTGTTCAATATATATATATATATATATATATATATATATATATATATATATATATATTTTTTTTTTTTTGTCCATATACAAACACAGGAAAACATAAATGTAATGTCCTAGAAAAAAATATGCCTTGAAAGCCAAGTGTTTCATGAGTTGATTAACTCACAGTGCATTAACTAATGTTAACCAACTTTGGATTTTAATAATCTATTAGTATATTTCGAAGAACATGATTAAAAAATTTGATAAATGTATTGTTTATATTTAGATCATGTTATTAAACACATTGTCTAACATTATAACTAATGTAACTTAACTGTACAATTTGACCAGAACAAGATAAAAACAAGCTTCAGCCTTTTTTTTAAGCCATGAATCATTTAGTGTAGAAAACTGTTTGCAATCTAAAAAGCCTGCTCAAAGTCATTGCTTGAAGATAATCATAATAAATTTTAGTAGGATCATACTAAATTTTAAACATTTGAGGAAGTAACAGTATTTATTTAGTTAATTACACTCTGTAAGATCTATAAAAGGAGTGACCCAACAGAAAACACAGATCTCAATGTTCAGTACGCAATGACGGTAAGTCTATGCTTTTTAAATACCAATGGACCATTTTGAGTAAAAAATTAACCCCAGTTGTCATTAAAAAGACCTCGGTACTCCAGAGACATACATTTGACGTCAAAATAATTAGCCCTCCTGTGATATTTATTTTTTCAAATATTTCCCAAATGATGTTTAACAGATCAAATATTTTTCCACAGTATTTACCATAATATTTTTTATATCTGGAGAAAGTCTTATTTGTTTTATTTCTAAAACATTGTTCATAAAATAAAATCAGTTTTTAATTTCAATTTTGACTTCAACTGTATGTTTAAAAAGAGCTGAGTGGTTTTACTTTTTTTTTTTTTTTTCCCGAAAGAATTGATATAGAACTTACCCATTATTCCCATTATTTATTATTGTAACATTTCCTGAATTGCAGAACCATTTTTATCAGTATATTATAAAGATAGATGTGATTGAAGTCTATAGGTTTCAAGCAGTCTAAGAGAGGAAAGTGATGATTTCAACAAAGTCAAGCACTTTCAAAATCACTTTTCATCAAAACATATACAATGCACAGCATAAATGAGTAAACCACTTTTTTAAACTAATTTTTTTCATCCATTTCTCAGTGAATACGGGCAATTTACATTTGAACAACAGAAAAATTTATTCAAATAGTACTTTTAATGTTTTAGTTACAGAACATCTTTTGAAAAGGAAAGATTTAAATTTATGGAAAATACTGCAAAAAAACTTAGAAATTACATTTAAATATATATATATATATATATATATATATATATATATATATATATATATATATATATATATATATATATATATATATATTTTTTTTTTTTTTTCTCTCTTGATTTTTGCTATTTTTTTTTTAAATTTTTGTTAAATATTTTTTCCTAACATATAAATATGGGCTACTAATTGTTTAATCATTATAAAGGTTAATTTGTCAGATTAGCTCCAGATTTGGCTTCTGTACTGAATAAAATAATGTATATGCACAAATATATTATTGTAAAGCATCGTATAGAAAAAAATTATTTAAATGAGAGATTTTGGGGGGAGGGGGGTGTACTCATATATGCAGAGCACTGTTTGCTAATTGTGTGCAGTCATCCATTTTTAATTCATGTAATTTTAGACATACAGTTGAAGTCAGAATTATTAGCCCCCCTGAATTATTAGGGCCTCTGTTTATTTTTTTCCCTAATTTCTGTTCTGTTCTGGGAAGATTGTTTCAGTACATTTCTAAGCATACTATTTAAAAAAAAAACTTATTTCTAATAACGATAATTATGATTTATTTTTATCTTTTCCATGATGACAGTAAATAATATTTGACTAGATATTTTTCAAGAAACTTCTATACAGCTTTAAGTGACATTAAAAGGCTTAACTAGGTTATTAAGGTGAACTAGGCAGGTTAGGGTAATTTGTCAAGTTATTGTATAACGATGGTTTGTTCTGTAGATTATCGGGAAAAAAAAATAGCTTAAAGGGGCTAATAATTATGTCCCAAAAATGTTTTTTTTTAAAAATTAATAACTGCTTTTATTCTAGCCGAAATAAAACAAATAAGACTTTCTCCAGAAGAAAAAATATTGTCAGACATACTCTGAAAATTTCATTGCTCTGTTAAAAATCATTTGGGAAATATTTAAAAAAGAAAATTAAAATTAAAAGGGGGCTAATAATTTTGACTTCAACTATACATTGATTTTTATGCTCCTTTGTCATTCATTGATGACCGAAATATTTAAAAAAAAAAAGTGTCAAAACAAAGAATAAATTAAAATAAACAACCATTCATTCATTTTCTTTTGGCTTTAAATACACATTAAAAAAAAAAAAAAATTAATAGCTTCAGATATAGGAGACCCCTTCCTAACCAGTGCTAATTTCACAGCATTTGAGTATGTCTTTATTTGGCTGGTATTGTCTGTATTAGCATAGCATTGCAAACCATAAATAATATAATAATGAATATGGCTTTTACTGTTCTCAGCATGACTTCAAATATAACTCAGGTAAACACTGTAAGCATGAATCTTTTCAATGTTTATACAAGGCTCAAAACAAAAACAAAAATAAAATAACACATTTATACAGCATTAATAATTTACACAATTTTACAGTATAATATTTTACAAACAATAAGTAGAAAAGTATTCACTAGTACCATAATGGCCAACACAGACACAGACACAGTAAGAAATATATTATTTACATCTACTTATACAGCATTTAGCCCTATGTACATCTTTTATTTTCAATCAAATAATTACAAAGATTATTGATAAACCTGTGCAATTTTCTTGTTTCTTGACTAATTTCTCTGAAATATCTGCTGTTAGGTTAACAGCTGTAGTGTACAATTCAAAATAAGCACATCCAATGATTATAAGACATAACACTTTAAGAGTTTGAAAGCATCTATAAAGTCTCATCTTGCTCCGTATGGTCATCTTGGCTGAAGTCCAAAGAGCTCTCTGATTCCACAGGTGTCACATGATCACACCCAGAGTCTGACAAGCTCGTCTGAGAGTCCGCAAGATCTCTTTGAGGATCTGCAATATCTGTCTCAAAAGCGCTATTCAGTTCACCGTGCAAATGCTTCTTCTGAATCTCCTCAAAGATCTGAAGAACCTTTGGAAAACCACAACATGTAGATTTGTTGTTAACTCCAGGTAGTTGGCGTTTATAAACATTTATGATCACCTTGTGTTTTTGTTATGTTATATTATGTCATGCTACCTTAGATTTGGGAATTAGACCAACACGGAAAAATCCAATCTGTCCACTCTCGATTTTGGTGCAGTCTACTACTGTGGAGGCAATGTTCTCTGGTGACGGCCCATCACAAAGCACTCCATCTACCTGTAAAATATAGGCAATGATATTTTAATCCTCTAGTGTTTATTTGTTTATTTATCTTATCAAAAAGTACACCCCTTTCGTACCTTGTCACCAAGTTTTGCATAAACTTGGTTATGATGGGTAGTATCAGCCTCACCAGTTGGGTTGGCTGATGTGACTGCAATGGGACCCACCTTAAAAACAAGAACGCATGATTTATACTGCACCTTGCTATTACAAAACCCAATATTAGCAAACTATAACACCACCTACTGCATTTATAAGGTGTGTAGCAACAGTGCAGTCTGGGTTTCTGATGGCTATACTCTGCGGTGTGCCAATATATTTTGATGAGTCACCCAGTCCAAAGAATTCCATCCATGGCGCTAAGATTAAAAAATGAAATATCAATTAAATTCTACAATCCAAGCTCATTCTGATTACGTACCCCTATATACATTTCTGGAGAGAGCAAAATATGTCCCAAGAGCTATGTTTTTTTGCAGTTTTTGTTTTTCGCAAATCCGCCAGAGGTTGCTGGGTACACTTTTTCAGATCTCAAATCGCGCCAGCTGTTCTTTTCGGTTGACTGACTGACTGACCAACCGACCAATTCCCCCACCCACCCCCTTCTCTAAACCTAACCAACCGTGTTTTAAAAAGCACTGATTGGCCCGCCCACCCCCTTCCCTTAACCCAACCGCAGTGTTTTCAAAAGCAATCTTGAAAAAGAAATGTCATTACAACAACCTAATTTTTACCACATTTTCAGATTTTACCAAATTTTCACATTGTTATTTACTATTATTACCTATTTTTTGGCTTTGGTTTTTGTCTTACCTGCGGACTGGTATCGTTTTCAGCAGAAGAGAACCCCATTGTCGTGGTCAACTATGCTATGCGTCTCAAGTCTGTAAACTTATGTGTCAGACCACTGGACAAACTGGTAACAGTGGAAAAGCCTTCATAAGGAGGTAAGCGGTCAGCTGTGATGTGCGAAAAGGAACGGTGTGTCATACCCCCGTAGCATTCGTTTTAAAGACGAAATGCAGCCATATGTGGCTCTGGCTACATAATATGCGATCTCCAGAAATGTAAATAGGGCTAAGATTTGAGCCTATGTTGCAATTCTACATCATTTTGTAAAAAAAATATCAGATTCAGTGTGAAAATCACACTACTTACCTCTAGCTATAACCAAGCTAATGGAAGATGGCCAAGCAGCTTCCATAAAGTCCCATAAAATAGGGCTGATCTGTTTTCTGACTGGCTCCAACTGCTTTATTGATGCAACCCATAAGGACATGGGTCTTTCTTTGGCCTGCTTCTTTACACTAGAAAATGTGTGATCATATGGTTAGTGACAACGTTGGAGCAACCACATCTAAATATTCTTCTTAAAGTTTGGGCTTAAAATAACAACAGTGAAATTATATTTCACCTATATGCCTTTTCAACAGCTTGTGGGCGATTACAGGCTGCCACAAGAACATAGACAGTGTCTGTGGGCATTCCACAAATTCCCCCATTCTTCATGATCTCTGTAATAAAATAATGGGAAATGTATTGGTTAAACACATTCACGTATATGCAAACAGGTTTGCCAATAGATATTAGTCAGGGGTTTGGAAATGACTTAACTTCATACAGAGCATGTAAAGTGTAATGTATGCCATATTTCCTGACTAAGGTCTACAGCAGGGGTCACCAAACTTGTTCCTGGAGGGCCGGTGTCAGGCAGATTTTAACTCCAACCCTAATTAAACACACCTGAACAAGCTAATCAAGGTAGATACTGTATACTTGAAACATTCAGGCAGGTGTATTGAGGCAAGTTGAATCTAAACCGTGCAGGAACACCAGCCCTCCAGGACCAATATTGGTGACCTCTGGTCTAGTGTAAATCAGTATTTGTGAAAGTTACTTTTAAAAGTAATTTATTCAAATCTTGAGTTAAAAAACTAACTCAATTACATTTTAAGCAAGTGTTGTTTTTTTTACTTGGCAGTGCGTAAGAGTGTAAAATATTACTTTTAAAAGTAACTTTCCACGACTCTGGTTCAGTTTTTGCTATACTTACTGACCTGCAATCTGATGAACTGATGTGGACTTTCTGGCTGTGAGGTGAGGGCAACTGTCTTTGCCTCCTCCAAAGCCACTCAGCTTGATGAATGGATCCCCAAGTGGTAATTGTGGACTTTTAAAGGTGGAGTTGAAAATGCTGGCCAAAAACATATAGAAGCTGACAAGCCCAACTATTATGGTCACACCAATATCATAACCATAGGGCAGTGCACCCACTGCATCCAGTAAGAAGCTAATGAGGATGAGCTGGAAAGTGAATGTATAGATAAACCAAGCCTTGCTGAGAAACATCGATCCAGCTGTCACTAATACGTTGAAGAGCATGAAACTGATGATTCCTACTGCTAGGTGTAGGCCACGCACATCACCATAGAGGCCGCCAAAGCGTGTCAGTCCCCACACTGTCCACATGATACCATAAAGAACGAAAGTCGTGCTCTCTAGGGTCTTTCCTCGAGCAAAGGCAACAGAACCACATATTAAGTGCAACACACCACCAGAAACTACTGTCCAAGGTAGGATGAGAAGGGCTAAGGGGTTTCCACTAGAAAGTGAGGCTGTAATTGAAAAGGCAGCCAGGACACTGCAGGCATGGCCCAACACTTCAGCATCTGCATATTTGGAATAGCCCAGATAGGGAGCATGCCGATTTTTATCATGGGTATGTAGGACAAATTTATTACTGCGAGTAAACAGGTTCTTAATAAAACCTGCACCTGTAGGTATCTTACTTGGGGATGCCATGTTATAAAGGGTAACAAAAAGCACAAAAGAAGACATGACAAAAATGGCAGCCTGAACACCTTGCGTTCCTCTCTGAAAGAAGCTCTGGGGTTCAGATGCAACTGCAATACAGTATGCAACAAAGAACAGTTGGTAAATAGTATTGACAAATCCTCCCTGCAAGCTAAACAAAGCCAGAATGAAAAACAGCACAGAGAATACAACTGGAAAAGGCACTGGAGAATAAGGAACCTGGTTTGTTAGGTGCACTACTAACGCAGTGTATCCTTCAGTGAAATGCAGAATCGATGTAAAGCCATAAAAAGTAGCTGCCATGTTGTCCATGAATCTATAGCTCTGAACACACACACACAGCTGAAAGACACCAGCGGTCCACAGCCATGGCACATGACCAGAGAAAAGAGCAGGGACAACACCAAGCAGAACGCAGGCTAGCACACTAGCTGACAACAAATTCATGATTATCCCAATTATCACAACAGCGTTGGCATATCGACCCTGTAACTGTTTGTTATCTTTGTTAAATGTTCCGGGTAGCTGAATCTTTCTTTTGGTAATATAAGACAACAAGCGACCACTTCCAAAGTATGCACCCACAATACAGACCAGCAGATAGCAGACGGCAGTAGCTGCCTTTCCGAAGGCCAGATCTGCAAGGCCAGCAATCTGGTGGGCACAAGCTAAACATATGGTAAGGGCAATGAATGACAGGACAACCTCATGACACACAACAGCCACAATACAAATAACAAGCAGTGCCAGTGTGAAAGCTGCAAGGCCCGGCACCATAGCATCTCTCAGTCCTTTTTGGCCATTTATTATATTTTCACCTGCAAGTATGTAAACTAAACCTGAACCACACCATAAGGCGGACACTGTCAGGCACAAACTACCAAAGAGTACATTGTGGGACTTGCTGCGTCGTAAACCTAAGAGAAAGAATAAGAAAAAAGACATTTACATAGAGGACAAACAGTTTTATTAGCCCCCCTGAATTATTAGCCCCCGTTTATTTTTTTCCCCAATTTCTGTTTAAAAGAAAGAATATTTTTTCAACATATTTCTAAACATGATAGTTTTAATATCTCATATCTACTAACTGATTTATTTTATTTTTGCCATAATGTCAGTAAATAATATTTTACTAGATATTTTTCAAGACACTTTAATACAGTTTAAAGTGACGTATAAAGGCTTATCTAGGTTAATTAGGTTAACTAGGCAGGTTAGGGTTATTAGGCAAGTTATTGTATAACGATGGTTTGTTCTGTAGAATAATTTTTAAAAATTTCTTAAAGCGGCTAATAATTTAGTCCTTAAAATAGTGTTTAATATATATAAAAAAAAAAAACTGCTTTCATTTTAGCTGAAATAAAAACCTTCTCCATAAAAAAATGTATCAGACATTGTATAAGCAATTCCATTGCTCTGTTAAAAATCATTTGGGAAATATTTAAAAAAACAAAAAACAAAAAAAAACAAAAGGGGGCTAATAATTCTGACTTCAACTGTAAGCAGCAAACAAGTGAATTCATGTATTTACTCTAAGAGCACCATAAAAAGTTTAAAGATTAAGTGTTTAATTTTTGAGGCATTACCACTACCAGAAAAATAATTGTCAAAAATAACAAACAGACCACCCCCCAACCCCACCACCATCACACAGACTTTAAGTGCAAATATATTGCAACAATATTATATAAATATATACATTAAAGTTAATGTGAAGCAAATTTGTTGCTTTTTCATGAATAATATTGTAACAATATTTTTGTTAAAAACATTATTGTTTATATGTTAATAGTATTTTTGTAAATTATTTATTAATCGCCACAATATGTTACTCTCTGATTAACAAGTTTATTTTAAATACGATAAAGATTTTCTTTTTTTTTTGTATATAAAATCTTATGTAGTTTATTGCCATCAAATAGTGAGTGTGAAACACATACAGTACCTGAATAAGCCAGCAGAGAAGCAAATATGAGGAGCAGAATTCCTAAAGCCGTGTCTTTGATCAGGGATTTGTCTGGAGAGCTCGCATAGTTGTTCACCAGTAACAACAACGAACCTATTAGAACATTATCATCATTATTATAAGCACAATTCGATATTCAAGTAATTATAATAATAAGTAATTATATATAATTATAATTATTCAGGTCTGTTAATAAAATAAATACATAATATACTAAGAATATACACACAATAAACTAAGTATTACATGACGCAATAATATATTTCTAAGTGTAAAACATTTACAATAATTTTGTGCATTTTAAAATAGTTACATAGCAAAAAAAAAAATTTTTTTTTTTACTTTAATGAGGCTAAATAGCAGTTTTAATTGTTTAAAAAATCTTTCGAAATAAACAACTAATCAAAAAAATCACAACTTTCTTCTTTTATTTTCAGAAACCTACCCCCAGATATCCCCAGAATGCCAATGGATAAGTGTAATGATTCAGTCTCCGCCATCCTCACTTTTGACGCTCTTCACTCTCTCGCTTAGCTTTATACACACTGCTGACGTTATGCATAGTGATAGATACGCCCTTTTTAAAAAGGCCCTTTATTTCCTTCTTTCCTGGTATAGCCAACTAGAAACATTTTCCTAAATGAATTAATGTAATAAATATATAATTTGAGTTATTTAACACATTTAAACCTGTTCTGATTTAAGCAAACTGGTGTTTTTAGTAGCCTTTTTTATTATTAATTCAAACGTAGCCTATAATATAACTTGCTGATTATCTTTTAAATTATATTATAATTATTATGATTATTATTTTAATTAAAATTATAGGCCTATTTATTGTTGTTGTTGTTAATAATATTATTGTTAAAATTATTATTAATTTTATTTTGCAAAAGAAATCGTAAATCATTTTTAATTAGAGACAAACGAAAAAGCATACAACTGGATGCAAAATAATAATAATAATACATGGAAAATAGTGGTTTACTTAGACACCTGCCTGATATATGCGTGGAAGTCTATCTGTGACAATAATCTTTAAAAGTCGATAAAAAAAAAGTCAAAGAAAACGGATTCATTTGTCCACAGATGACACACATTCAATCCAATGATTGAATAAAGACAGTCTGCTAGTTTCACAACCTTCAACTCCAAACTTAATGATTTCATTTATAAGAAACGTACAATCAGTTAATGTGCACCAATATAAAAATAGATGAGCTCAGAAAGGAGGGCATGACTAAGCGGTAAGCGCGACCTGTTTGAACGGGGACAATGGTTTTTTTATTTCCTTCCAGAAAGCGCTCACGGGTGTGTCCTTAACTTTTTAACACGCCTTCATGGGCGGTTCAGCTTTTCAAGAATATAAGTAGAATACAGTCTTGCTCATCTTTGAGTGGTGAAAGCAACCTTCAGGAAAAGAGCGCACTTCACTGTAAAGTCAACTACTTTAACGAGGTAGGTTCTGCATTTAATTTCACAACGGCATTTGTAGACTTGAACCTAAAAGTTTCAGATTTTTAAAAACGTTAACATCATGTTTAAAGTCTAAATTTAAACATAATTTCCAGTATATGTTCTAGTTGTTCTTTAATGCTACAGTTAGTGTAACCATAATTTTGCAACTGTAGAAATGATTTCCTAATACGTGAGGTTTTATCGGGTTCAAAACATGTTGACTTGTTCCCTGGAAACAGCTGTGATCGTGCGTTCTGCGTTACCTGGGTAAAACTCTCTGGAGGTGTCATTACCATAAATATTTAAAGCAGCGTGTCAGGAGTTGGCACCTGTTGTTGTCTTTGCTTTTCTTTCATTTTTTTATAGAGTGTCGTGAAATGTATATATTCTAAATGAATACTGTACCTTAAAAGACCAGCATGAATGGTAAACTTCTGTATTGTGTTTAATGTAACAGATAAGATGGCAAAGAAGAGTGTTGCATTAGTTCTGTCTGGCTGTGGCGTGTATGATGGCACAGAAGTTCATGAGGCATCAGCCATTATGGTACATCTCAGTCGAGCAGGTGCAGAGGTAATGTCTCTTTCTCTCTCTCTCCCTCTCTCTCTCTCTCTCTCTCTCTCTCTCTCTCTCTCACACACACACACACACACACACACACACACACATACAGTTGAAGTCAGAATTATTAAATCGCTTGTTTATTTTTTTCCTCAATTTCTGTTTATCGGAGAGATTTTTTCAACACATTTCTAAACAAAATAGTTAATAACTCATTTCTAATAACTGATTCATTTTATCTTTATCATGATGACAGTAAATAATATTTGACTAGATGTTTTTCAAGACACTTCTATACAGTTTAAAGTAACATTTAAAAGGCTTAACTAGGTTAATTATGTTAACTAGACAGGTTAGGGTAATTAGGCAAGTTATTGTATAACGAGGGTTTGTTCTGTAGGTTATTGAGAAAAAAATATCTTAAAGGGGCTAATAATTTTGTCCCTAAAATTGTGTTTAAAAAATTTTAAAACAGCTTTTATTCTAACAAAAATAAAACAAACAAGACTTTCTCCAGAAGAAAAAATATGATCAGACATACTGTGAAAATTTCCTTGCTCTGTTAAACATCATTTGGAAAATATTTTGAAAAAAAGAAGAACATTTTTTGAAGGGGGCTAATAATTCTGACTTCAACTGCATAAATAAATTGCATATATATAAATAAGCCTATATATACCCTAATAAATAAGATAAATGAATGAATAAGAACAAGGGATGAATTTTGAATTATAGTGTATCACATTTTATCAGACAAAAATAGTTGCACAACACAAATATTTATAAAAGTAGAACATTTACTGAGGGACAAATTTACACTGAGAAGCAGAATCATACCCGATGAAAACTCTAACATAACATTTTTATTAATGTTAAAAAAAATAACTCTTAAAGATTAAACTGCCCAGACAGAACTATAATATCTATAATAACTATAATATCTTACTGTTTCACTATATATTTCTCATAAATCATATGCAGCTGTAAGTAAGCTTAAGATACTTTTTAAAATATAAAAATATTAATTATTCAATTAAAAATAAATAAATAAATACCACCTCATGCCTTGCTTCGATGTTGAACTTTCTGTGTAGGTTACAATATTTGCACCTGATGTTGAGATGATGCATGTGGTGAACCACTGTGAAGGGAAACCTGTGGCAGACAAGAGGAACGTGATGCAGGAGAGTGCCCGCATCGCCCGTGGTGATGTCACAGATCTAGCCAAGCTAGATGTCAGTGCATTTGATGCACTCATCATTCCAGGTAATAAGAGCATCCATGACATTATATAACTCCACAAATAAATGACTAAATACTCTAACAGAACAATCTGATCTTAATGTGTTAAAACTGTATACCGTACATATGAATTTATTTAGAAATTATTCTTCACTAATTTTATCCTACTTTAAACATTGGGCACCTCTTTTATAGGAACCCATCAAATGTCCATGCTATGTTGACAGATTAGTCAGTGATTAGTCATCGATGCATAAACTCCAGTAGGCCTTGTATGTCATTAATGTGTGACTTTACATAAATTGCTGTCTGGAGATAAGGCTTGGTTTGGTTTGTCAAACCAAGTTTATCAATGAGTCCACAGAGAAATGACCAACAAATAAGCCTGCACAGACACATTTACATAGCTGAAATGACCATTTTCAAACTTTGCCGTCCTTTGTAAGGATCTTGTTCTAGCATCTCTCTCTTAATCCATACATATTTACAACACTCAATTACCAATTTTAGGATTTTTGGGGGGTTCAAAATACATATTCTGAACTATTAAGCCTGTAGGTGGTTGTTTTGGGTTAATGAAGGTATTAAAAAAAACAAAAAGGTTATGGGCGATAATGCACTATGGTTGGGTTTAGGGGTGGGGTTAGGTGCCTCGCCTCCTTTTTAAAATCGTACAATTCCTTGTACGATTTTGTACAAATTAGCCACTAAACTGACAAAATGTAAAATACTTACGTTTTCTCGTTAGATCAGGCTGGATTTATCAGTGGGTTGGATTTAAATAGAACATAGTTTAAAAACTCATATTATACTTTAATTTTTATTTTAAAATGTGCAGTATATTTTATAGCACAATGAGCGTATTTATTTTAAAAGAATACAAAAATTTAAGTTGTTAATTCTGTTAATTCTTCATGTGCCATACAGGGGGTTTTGGAGTGGCTAAAAATTTGAGTGACTGGGCCACAAAAGGCAAAGAGTACTCCATCACACCTCAGATCGATAAGGTCATTAAAGGTTTCCACCAGGCAAAAAAACCCATTGGTCTCTGCTGCATTTCCCCTGTGCTGGCAGCGAAGGCTATTCCTGGATGTGAGCTCACCGTCGGTCATGACAAAGTGTGTAAAATGTAAGTTTGGTCAATTTATTTGAATAATAGTTCACATGAAACAGATAAAGGGTTTAATAAAAGTGTGTGGTTACTTATTAATAGGCTTTTGTACTAAGCGTTGTCATTTTTTTCTTAACTGCAGGTGGCCATATGCTCAAGTGGCACAATCCATGGCAGAACTGGGCTGCAAACATGTCAATAAGCATGTTGGCGAGGTACATGTTGATACCAAGAACAAACTGGTGACAACAAGTGCATTCATGTGCAATGCTCCCATCCATGAGATTTTTGATGGCCTGGAACTGATGGTAGCAGATGTTCTCAAACTAGCCTAACTCTGTTATGTGACATTGTTCAAATATTACAATAATATGCATATTTATTTCAACCAGAAAATGTTGTCATTTGATCAAGGAGAATTGAATATAGGTTACATACTGCAACAATTTCAAGTAAAACTGTGTTTTTGAGGTAACCTATTATCAATAAAACTGACTTGAATCTATGCATTACTTTGTTTATTGAATTTCGTATTTCATTCATATGATTATAGACAAGCTCAATAAGTATTTCACTTCTTCCATCTTGCATTTAGATTGGCACCCTACCCCCACAAACCACACATGTTGAAGTATTTCTAAATTTACTGCAAAAAAAGCAATTATTTTTTAAATTTATGTGATATACTATATACATTTTATATAAATCATTTGTTACAATAAACAACAAATCAACAAACATATTGTTCCAAATAACTGGCTGACTTACAGTACTTGCTCATTTATATTGTATATTAATTGATTGAAGCTATGTAAAATACAAAAAGCCAAATCAAAATAAAAAATATTGGTCGTAATTAATTGAAATGAGAAAGTGGTGCATTTCACATTTTTTATATACAAAAAAAAAAAATGCTGGTCCTGTGCTTTTAAAACTGAATATAGTTAGGCACCTTTGTTACGGTGCGGGTAGCAGCAATATAAGTAAAGACCAAGGTAACCAAGATAAGTAAAATATGTGACAAAACAATATGTACTAATAAATGGTCACCACGAAAGCCATTTACAAAAAAATAAAAATAAAATCTATAAGAAACACTTTGCAATAATTTTTTTTAATGTAACATATTTACATATTGTGAATTCCGTCCTTC